GGGAGGGGGTACACGGCAGGCCAGCAAGACGTCCCAGGGGGCAGGAGCCCCAGGTCAAGGCACAGTGGGCGCTGATGGCTGTGCGGCTTGGACACTGACTTGGGGGGATGGACGTGACCACGCAGCACCAGAGGAAGGGTGCGGACGCCAGGCCTGGGTGGGTTTGCTGGAGGTTTCCGGCTGGAGACTGAGCCAACCCTGGCCGGAGGAGGAATGGGGGGCAGAAGCACAGAGGGGTCAGGGCGCCCACCCTAACCTGGGCGTCGGCGGGGGTGGGAGCGAGGCAGGCTGCTCCTCCCGTGGGGAAGGGAAGCCGTCCCTGCCCCCGCACCCCCAGTCTCGGGGGGCTGCCACACCCCACGTGACTCCGCAGGAGCCCGTGGGGCCTTCTGCCCTGCTGCCACCCCCGCGGGGCTCCCAGCCCACCTCCTCACCTCAGCCCGCCACCCCCTCCCCAGCAAGACCCCTGCCTCCCTCTCCCCACTGCACCTGTGATGCCCCCGGGAGGAAGGCTGGCGGGGAGGGGGCGACCCGGCTTGATGAGGGTACCCGCGTCGGGCGCACGCGCAGGCGGGTCAGCAGAGCCGCCTCCAGGCTCCTGAGGCCGCTGGTCGGTAGCTCTGTCGCCAGGCCGCCTGGGCCCTGGCTGCACCCTCCCACTGCCTGCCCTTAGGCAAGTTACTACCTGTCCCCAGCCTCCGTGTCCCCATCCGCAAAATGGTGTCAGCAGTGCTGCTAACCCCAGACAGTTGTTGCGGGGACTGGGAACCATACACAGGTGTTTCCCCGCGGGCATGCTTTCTCCCCATGCGGAGCCCTCCTGCAGAGCTGTTACCGCCAGCATCCCCCATCGCTGCCGCCCCCGGCTGCCCCGGCCCCGGCCATCCCCTGCCGCGGCCTCCCGGGAGGTGCTGGGGTCTGCGCTGCCGGGAGAGAAGTGACCTGGCCCAGGGCTTCTCGAACGTGACCAGGTACGTGAATGGCCTGAGGTCTTGTTAAGAGGCAGATCCCGGCCCCATTGGCCTGGGCTGGGTCTGGGAAGCTCCTGGCGAGGCTGCTGCTGCTGGCCCGTGGACCACGCTGGAGTAGCAGAGGGCTGGGGCCCAGAGCCCGTGTTCCTATCCTGGGCGGGGGGGTCGCTCGGCCTGCAGCTCCTCAGCCCCATCCTCTATCCTGATTCTCTCAGCAGAGCCCAGCGAAGGAGGCTGGGGACCCCGCTGGGTCCACCCTCCTCTCTGTGTCCCTGTCCCTGGGACTGGGACAGAAATGCCCACAGGCTGTGGGGCTTGGAGCCCCGACACCGCCACCTCACTCGTTTCCGTTGCCTGTTCCCCCACCTGGGTGGGGACTTCCCTCCCAGACGGCGTGAATTTATTCCGCAGTGGCCACGCCTGCCTGAGCCGCTGTGCTCCTGGCATCCTAATGTAGGTCACCCCTTTCCTAACGAGGTAGAGGGTTCTGGGGGCCGGAAGGGGTCCTGGGTTGGAGGTGGGCTGGAGGGCAGGGTGATGGACCCCACAGCGCCTGAGGGGTGCTTCTGTGGTCCCCAGGGAGCGCAGGCTACAGCCCCATGGACCTGTGGGTCCTTGTTCCCGTCACGTTTCTCCAGAGATCCCAGGGCGTGGGTCTGAGTGTGGAAAAGGTCCTGGGTTGGGGGCGGCCCTCGGGGGGCTTCTCTAGGCCCTGCTTCCGGGCTGGAGGTCCCCCCGTGCATCTGTCTGCTGCGGGAACTGCGGGAGTGATAGCATCTGAGGATGCTGGAGGGCTGCCAGCGCGCGCGTGAGTGCACCCGTGTGCGTGTGTGTGGCTGCACGCTCTCTGGGGGGGTGGTCTGCATCACACGCTGTGTTGGGAGCCTGTGTGTGCACCCCGCTCAGTGCACACACGTGTCTCCCCCCAGGGGCCACTGCTGGGGGACAGTCCCCAGGGAGCGGGCCTGTGTCCCTGACCGGCCGCGTGACCAGGCACGCTGGTCTCCACCTCTGAGCCTGGCTGGCTGCTGACCCCCCTGACACCGTGTGGGCGCTGTGAGCTGCCGACCTGCGGGTCCTCGCTGGCGAGAGGAGTGTGGGACTATTCCAGGGGTCGGGGCCGAGGCTCACGGAGAGGGTGGACGGCGTCCTCAGTGATGGAGGCCTGGGAGGCTGTGTGCGAGCGCAGCCCACGGTGACCGCCGTGTGACGGCTGCTGGCCTGGCACGGGCCCAGGCACAGAGACAGACACCCAGGTGTGAGACTGGGGGACCAAGAAAGAGAGGTCCCGCAGACGCGCTGGAAGCCGCCGCCCCTCCCCGCGGACACAGGGCACTGACATCTCCCTACGTCTACCTGGGGCTCAGGTCCAAGCTTGGAGTCCCCTAGACTGCCTTGCAAGATGATGTATCCTGAATTCAGCAAATGCTAGCTCTCCTCCCCCGACCAGATTGACCCCCACGGAGGGCAGTGTGTTCTGGTCATCACCCTGAGAGATAAGGAAACCGAGGCCCAGAGGGTTTCCGTGATCTGTTTAAGTTACACAGCGAGGGAGCAGCCGGCAGGGATTCGAACCCAGAGCCCTCCCTGACCCGGGAGTCTGAGCCAGGAGCCCCGGGGACCTGGCCCTGGGAGGGTAGCTGGAAAGGACCCCTCAGCTGCTCTGGGCATCTGCTCCGCCCCCAGCCCAGGGACCCAGATCCATCCTATAGGCATGTGGGTCTGCACCCCTCGCCCCACATCTGCCCAGTGCGACTCGCTCTGCAGCCTCTGCGAACCCCCTGGTGGGGGGTGAAGCCCAGAGTGACAGACAGGCCCCCCGAGCGGTCCCCCTCCCCGGCGGGCCCCATCCTGAGCGGGCGCCCTTGCCGGGGCCCAGCTGCGGGCCCCCGGGGCTGTGGCGCTCGTGGGCTCGTGGGGCCAGGAGGCTGCTTGGCAGCGGTAAGCGGGGAGGAGACGGAAGAGGCCCCAGTGCCTGAGGGAGACCCTGCTTAGATGCTGAGGTTCCAGCGGCTGCCCCCACCCCTCAGCTCCGCTCTGCTCTGCCATTAGCCCCTCGGGCTCCCAGAATTAAGGCGGCTGTGGGAGGGGAGCGGGAGGCTGCAGCCTGGGGCCCCCGGGTCCAGCGTGGCCACCGAGCAGGGGAGGCTGCTGGCCCGTCTCTGTCCGTTCGCCACCTCGCGCTGGGCTGGCGGCAGGGGGCCCGCAGTCCCCTTTCCCGCCCCTGTGACGGGCCCCTGGCCACGCCTGGAAGGGAGTGGGAGCAGGGCAGGTCACCTGGGAAGGGGGAGGCCCCCTCGCCCCTCGGGAAGAGGAGCCGCTCTCTGCGCTGCAGCCTTGCCCTCTCCCTGCCCCTGTGCCCCGACGGCAGCGGCTGCAGCACGAGCCCCTGCGCTGATGAGGTTTATCCCAGACCTGCCGGCGGCAGAAGACAGAGCACGGCCGCTCACCCCCCGGGAGACCGCGGAGGGCAAGCAGGGGGCTTCCCCGTGGCAAGAGCCGGGCCTGGGCCTCACCCGCGAGCCAACGGCCGCCCCTACGCGGGGCCTGGTCTCTGCCTCCTCGGGGGCCATGGTAAGAGCACAGTGGGGCTGCGGGGCCAGCTGGCTCTCGATGATTTCCACGCCTGGGATGTGGGGGAAGCCCAGAGGCCGAGGAGGCCACGTGGCTCCGAACACGTTTACGAGATCATCCAGGGAGACAAGAAGAGGCGGGGAGAGGCTGGGCGGGAGGTGAGGGATGCAGGGCGGGTGGACAGCTCCTGCATCGCCCAGCACTGGCCTCAGCACTGTCTCCAGCCCCAGGGCTCCTGGGATGCCCGCCTGCCCCTCCACGCGCCCCCTGCTGTCGACGGAGGCAGAGGCTCCTGGCTTCTCGGCCCCCTTGCTCCTCTTTCCCCTCCCCCGCCCAGGGAATCAGAGCCAAGAACACAGGAGGGGAGGGTAAAGAGACACCGGGCCCCCTCCATAACCCGGGGCTGCACCGGCCTGACACCCGCTTCCGCTCAGCTCTCTCTCCCTCTCTCTCAGGACTGACCGAGCGGACAAGCGGCTTCTCTCTCCCTCGAGGTGCCGGGCCTGACAGCCGTGCAGCCACCATGCTGGCCCCAGGCAGCGGCCCCGAGCTGAGCACCTGGTTTGCCCCGCTGTGGAGGCAGATCTCTTGTGAGTGGAGGCGGGGGTCGGCTTAGCGGGGATGCAGGGATGCTCTTCCCAGGCGTCCATGGCCTGGGTCTGGGAAGCAGGGCCCAGTCCCCGCAGCCCTGCCCACGGTGCCGGGGGAAGAGCTGCTTCTGAGCTCTGTGGCGGGCGGGTCGGGGGCAGGGGCTCCACAGGCAGCTCTGTCCCCCCAGGTGGGTCTGCTTCCACCCCCAGAGGCCCCAGCAAGTCCTGCTGCCCTAATGGCAAACCGCCCTCTCCTTGCTCGGCCATCAGCTGGGTGGGCCTGGAGGCCTCCCTTAGGGCTCAGCCCCCGTAGCTCCGAGACGGGGGGAACCAGGGGGCTCTGGGGACGTGACACTGGAAGGGGCCTTAGGGAGTGGGTCCAGCCCCTCCTCCTGCATATGGGGAGACAGAGGCCGCCCACTCCCCACAAGGGAACCTTGTGAGCTGTCGGGTAAAGGAAGCCCTGGGAATTCTCTTCACGAGGTGAAGGGTCAAGGCTACAGGGTAAGAGGTAAGAATGGTCTCGAGGGACGTCCCTGACTCCTGCCCTCCCACGGTCAGCCCTGTGATGCTGCCGCCCCAAGACACAAGCGGCCTGAATTACTCACCCCGCAGAGCAGCTGATCCCGAGGGACCCAGCTCCCCTCTCAACTTCCTTTTGAATCACTCAACACCTCGCGACACAGGCTCTGTTTTCTTGCCACCAGAGCTTTTATGCCAGCCTGAATTTCTTGGGCGGGGGGACAGTGACCTGTAGTTGTGTTGGTCCTTTTGAGAGGGAGGCTGGATGGGTTGAGTGTTTTTCTGGGGAAAGTGAGGTCTGAGGAATTCAGCTGACTTCCACAAGGCACGGCGGGGGTAGTCTGACAGGCTGACCTGGCCGCAGACAGCTCAGACAGCGAGAGGGTCAGCGGCCCTCAGGTGACCTCAGTGGCCGGAAGGGCTTCCAGTTGGCGTCCGTGGCCGTGCCTGTGCTCATTTCCTCCCGAGAACAAAGACGCTCAGGTGTCAGCCTGGCAGGTGCCTCTCAGGAGCCACCGATCCTCCAGGAAAGGGGGGTGCAGTCCCACCCTGTTCCTTCAGGGTCTGCCCTTTGGGGCACCAGACAGCAGACCCCTACTAGACACAGACCCAGGACCGTCCCCTCCAGACCCCTGGTCAGAGCAGCTCTGCCCCTCCAGCTGGAGCCAAGCGGCCAGCACTCCTCGGCTGGGGCCTTTCCTCCCGGCCCGGTGGGATCCTCCCCTTCCACAGGGACACCCTGGGGGACAGTCGGGGGCTTTGCAGTCACTCTTAGAAGGGTGGGCCACGGAACGAGCTGCCCTGCGGGACTGTTCTCTGAGCACCCGTCCCCCTGCAGCCCTGCCACAGGGGCCCTGGGCAAAGCATGGGACCGTGAAAGGAATTCTGTCAACAGATCTGTCCTGCGGAAACTGGGGACAGGGCCCAGGCTAAGGGCAAGCTGGCTGTAAAGTGAGAACAGATGTGGGACTTGCCCCGGGCCCACAACTTTGGGGGCTCGCACCCCAGCATCCTCCACGTGGACGTGGAACTCAGCATCTCACCCTGCCGTTTCCACAGTGGTCTCTGGGGTGGGGCCCGGGCGGGCCCGGGCTCCCTCGTCACCCTGAGTCGCTGGCCCACCTTGGATGTGGGACTCATGCAGACCGGGGAAGTGGTGGCAGGGGTCGGTGTGCCCCTTCGTGTGTGCAGTGCGGCCCCTCCCATGCACGGCCATCAGCCCCGTGCAGCTCCAGGTGGTGGTGGGGGGGGGGGTGCGGTGCAGAGGGGAAGGAAGCAGAACCACTTTCTCTGGACAGAATCCTTCCATGGCAACGGCCCTGGGAGAGGAACATGGGGCGGCCCCTCTGACACCCTCACATCCTCTGTCGCATCAGTGTCTGTGGTGTCGGGGCCGTGTGGGGACCCTGGCTGCCCGGCGGTGTCCGTCCACGTGGACGTGCCGCGGGGGGTTAGTTGTGTTTCTACGTGGTCAGGAAGCGCTACGGCACCGCGCGTGGTTGGGCCAAAGGGGATCAGCGCGAGGCCGCGTGATGGGAGGCGGATGGGAGGGGAAGGCAGTGGGAGTGGCGACCCGCATGCCATGCCCCGTCTGTCCCGCAGGGCTCACCTGTTGGATCGCCCTGTGCACGGCGGAGGCTGCCCCCGCCTGCCCCCTGCCCTGCACGTGCGACGGCCATGGCCTGCAGGTGGACTGCAGCGGCCGGGGCCTCGCCGCGCTGCCCGCGGACCTGCCGGCCGCCACCCGCAGCCTGCTGCTCCTGAACAACAGGCTGAGCTCCCTGCCCGCCGGGGCCTTCGCCGGCCTGTCGGGCCTGCAGCGGCTGGACCTTTCCAACAACTTCCTGGACGGGCTGCCGCGCGCCGCCTTCGGGGGGCTGGCCAACCTGACGGAGCTGCAGCTGCGCAACAACAGCCTCCGTGCCCTGGACCCCGAGCTGCTGCGGCCCCTGGCGCGCCTGCGCCACCTCGACCTGTCCCTCAACGGCCTGGCCCGGCTCCCACCCGGCCTCTTTGACGGGCTCCCCGCCCTGCGCTCCCTGTTCCTGCGTGCCAACCGCCTGCAGAGCCTGGACCGGCGGACCTTCGAGCCCCTGGCCAGCCTGCAGCTGCTGCAGGTGGGGGACAACCCCTGGGAGTGCGACTGCCACCTGCGGGACTTCAAGCACTGGCTAGAGTGGTTCTCCTACCGAGGTGAGCACGGGTCAGGTCGGGGAGGAGTGGGCCCGGCCTGGCCACCGGCGGGCACAGGGGCTCTGCGGCCCCCTTCTTCCCATCCCCTCCGCTCCCAGCCGCCTTGCTCTGCCCTGTCTCCTCAGGCTGACTCTCTGTAACTGGCTCTCACTTCTGTAGGTTTCAGGATGGACTTAAACACACAGTATCATTGTCCTCTGCCTCTAGGCTTCCCTGGCCCGGGAGGAGGAGGGATAAAACCACCCTCGCGGGCTTCCCTGGTGGCGCAGTGGTTGAGAGTCCGCCTGCCGATGCAGGGGACGCGGGTTCGTGCCCCGGTCCGGGAAGATCCCACATGCTGCGGAGTGGCTGGGCCCGTGAGCCATGGCCGCTGAGCCTGAGCGTCCGGAGCCTGTGCTCCGCAACGCGAGAGGCCACAACAGTGGGAGGCCCGCGTATGGCAAAAATAACCAAAACAAAACACCCTCGCTCCTCTGAATAATGCAGCCATCTCTTAAGTACCCACAGTGCCAGGAGGGTGGAATCGAGTTCAAATCCACAAATGCAGTCACATTTTCTTTCTGACGATGATCTCAACTCCTTCCCCCTAGAAGTTCTGTTATCAAAGCTTTTACTAAGAAGCCAAATGCTCCCCCTTTCGGTGACCCGGGAAAGTTCTAGAATGACCTTCGGAATGATTAAATGAAATGGACAAGGGCAGAGAAGTAAGCCTGCTGGCTAAAAGCGCCAGGTCCGGTTTTGCCTCGTGGCTCTGCCACGTACTAGCTGTGTGTGATCTCGAGAGAGCTCACTGACCTCTCTGTGGCTGCATCCTCGTCTGTGAAATGGGGCCAATCTCAGAGAATCTATCTCAGAGAATCACTGTGTGGAGTAGGTAGGTAATTCATGGAAAGCATCTGGAAAAGGACCCAGCATAAAGTGAGTCTGCAATAAAACTTACTCATTTATATGTCCACTGGCTGGCGGAAGTCATAATATTAACCGGCCTTAATTAGACACAGTTTGGTGTCCAGCAGGAAGTAGGGCTCCATGAATCTGCTGAACGAGTGAATCGATGTGAAGCGAACGCTAATGCTTTCGTCAAAGTCTTACTCCCTTTGTTTCACAGTGTTTCCACAATTTAATTATTTGCATAATATTCTCACGTGTTAGTTAATTAAAAACATTTTACAAACGATAAAGTACCATAAAATGTTAGTCCCTGTGATAATTTCTCCCGTTTTTGTGAGAGGAGAAATAGTAACACTTGCATGGTTTCCAGTTTCCAAATATCCTACCATGTACGTGACCCACTTGAACCCTAACTGAGCTGCAGCTGAGACGGCCATTCTTATTGACAGCCTGGAAAATCGAGACTCCTCAGCAATTCGATACGTAAAGTGACTTGCAGATGCCCTGGCCGGGAGGGAGTCAGCCTCAGGTTTTGGGAGCAGGGAGGTAGGGCGGCTGCGTCTCCACGCCCAGCCCCCGCCCGTGCAAAGGCCCTGGACACAGTTCACGGGATGTAAGCCTTGGACAGGGGTCTGGAGAGCCAGACCGATGTGTGATCTGCAGGGGACGTCCTTGCCCCTCCAGTCATCGGTCACCGGGAGCTGAAGGGCGTGGAGGGGGAACGTACACTTTAGGAACTTTTCACTAGTGGAGTTATCTTCCGCCATGCGCTCCTCCAAAACAACGCAGACCAAACCAGAACAAAAACCTGGGCCCTTTTCCTCAGCACCCGGGGAAGACTGATGTCTATTGTGTGAGGAGACCGCGGCGGTGGGGCTGCAGGAGCCCAGGCGCTTCCCTGGGGGCCGCGCCTGCGTCTAGATCTCGGGCTGCCCGAAGAGGCCTAAAGGGGGGCGTCTGGGCAGCTCCTCTTCCTCTCGCCCCACCTGTGCGCTGCACCCTCCCCGCCCAGGCCGCGGGCTGAGCCTGCGCTGCCCGCACGCCCTCCTCTGCCCTCGGGGGTCCTCAGGGTGTCCTCCCAAGATGCCACTGCGCTCACGGGTGCTGTGGCCGGGCTGCTGAGGGGGCCACCACTGCCCTCAAGGAGGAAACTGCTGTCCCTGGGCCCCCCTCTCCCTCTTCCAAGGAGGAGTCTTAGGAACCACGGTCCCGCCCGCGTGGAGGAGCAGGGCCGAGGCTCTGACCTCTGTCCTTTGTGTGGGCGGGAGGGGCGCGGGGGGAGCAGTTGCTGGGGAGAGCAGAGCCGGGGGTCACGGACGGCGGTCAGTGGAGAGGTCAGTTAGGACAGGCACGGGCTGCCGCCTGGCAGGGCTCCTGGCCCCCCTTTCCTGAGCACCCGGGGGCCAGCTTGACTCTGGGGGCAGGAGAGGTGGGAATGTTTGTTTCTCTATCAGATGGGAGCAGGGACACCGTCCGTCTTCTGAGGCTTCTGCGCGGGTTAAACGCCGTGACACGTGTACCCGCCTCCCCGTCACTGGGCGCCGTACGCCAGTCCCCCTAACCTCTCCCCTTCGCTCCAGGATTGATAGTGCTGCGGATGGAAACTAGGCCTCCCGGGCCTCTGTGTGGGGACCTGGGGCTGGGGGAGGGAGTGCCGGCCTCAGCCCCCCTTTTCTCTCTCCTGATGCAGGGGGGCGTCTGGATCAGCTGGCCTGCACCCTGCCCAAGGAGCTGAGGGGGAAGGACATGCGCGTGGTCCCCATGGAGATGTTCAACTACTGCTCCCAGCTGGAGGACCAGAGCAGCTCAGCCGGGCTGGAGGTCCCCGGGCCACCCTGCACCAAGGCCAGCCCGGAGCCTCCCAAGCCCAAGCCGGGCCCCGAGCCCGAGCCCGAGCCCAGCACCGCCTGCCCCCAGAAGCAGAGGCCCCGGCCCGTGAGCGTGCGGCGGGCCGTCGGCACCGTGATCATCGCGGGGGTGCTGTGCGGTGTGGTCTGCATCATGATGGTGGTGGCCGCTGCCTACGGCTGCATCTACGCCTCCCTCATGGCCAAGTACCACCGGGAGCTCAGGAAGCGCCAGCCGCTGATGGGCGATGCGGAGGGCGAGCACGAGGACCGGAAGCAGGTCTCCTCTGTGGCCTGAGAGCCCAGGGCGGGGCCGGGGGGCACGCCAGCCCCCCCCCCCCGCCCCCTTCCCCCCTTCCCCCCAGCCCCTGATGGGCGATGCGGAGGGCGGGCACGAGGACCGGAAGCAGGTCTCCTCCGTGGCCTGAGAGCCCAGGGCGGGACCGGGGGGCACGCCAGCCCCCCTCCCGCCCCCTTCCCACCTTCCCCCCAGCCCGCCAGCAAACGGGCCCGTGTCTCCACGGACACCGGAGCGTCCGGAAGGTATCAGTACACTGACGCTCCCCTCTGGACCACAAACGCTCTGGCCCACGGGCAGAAAAGATGTGTGTGCGAGCAAAGACTCCTGGACCCAGCGCCCCCGTACCGCTGCGGCTCCCGGTACAGTCACAGCCGGTGACACCCCCCTCCTCTGGCTCAACCCACCTTATCTGCGTCTGGGGGTGCGGGGCCGGTTTCTGCGACTCTCTTCTAAGCCAGGAAGATGTTGGGCCCAGCTTCTGATGGCTGGTACCACTGTGCATTCAGCCCAGCCCAGCCATCTGGACCAGCACTTGGCAACCCAGCACCACGCCCTCTCCAAAGCCATCTGTCCCTGCACCACCAACCACCCGGCTCCGGGTCACTAATCGTTCCCGCTCGAGCTCGGCATCACACACACAGTCACTTAGGGACAGAGGTCGTGGGACCTCGGGGAGCGGAGCCAGGCGTCCCCCGTGGTCTCAGCCCTCGGGCCACACAACCTGCTGCTTGCTTATGCAACCTCCTGCGGCGGATGGGGAGAAACCCAAGCCCACGGCACGAGGATTCCTTCCAGATCCTCTCAAGAGGCCAAGGTGGTGCTGCCAGATGAGACTGCCCGTCACCATGGTAACCCACTCACACCTCTCCTGCTGGGATTTCCAGGGACGCCTGCCCAGAGGCCTGGAAGATGCAGCGTGTGTGGATGGTGGCCTCCCGAGAGCCCGGCCACGCACCACCGGACTCATCCTCCGCGCTGCCCAAGTACGTCCCCGCCAGGCCCCGTGGGGACGCGCACCGCTCCCACTCCCACAGCCTGCGGCCCGAGAACCGTTGCTCTGCACCTCCCACTGCCATGCCCCACCCTCAGCATCTCTGGGCCCGTGACCCCAGGGCGGGGACTGGCTCATCCTCTGTGACCCTCCTGCCAGCATATACCAAACAGACCCCGGGAGCAGCGAAAGGACCCCCCCGTCCTGCTCAGAGGTCTCAGTAATGGGGTCCTTTTCCCAGCGTTCTGTCAGCTCAGTCTGACTTCCCAGAGTCCTCGTGGCACCTGGACTGGGGCCCAAACCAGAGCAAGGGCCCAGGGGCCCATCTGCTCGTTACCTGTAACCCGCCCCCCCAAAGGGACAGAGGCTGAGGGTGGGCGTGGGAGGGGGCAGTGCAGGGTGGGGTTCACCGGTCCCCTTTCCGAGGTCTGCCCTCCTGGGGAGTGCGATCCCGGCGAGTCCTGGGCCTCGCTCTGCAGGACATCAGCCTCCCCGCCGCTTACAGAGGGTCAGGTGGCAGGAGGCCGGTTTCTGGCTCTGCGACGGCTGTGAGTCTAGGGAGTGGCCCGGGGGAGGCCGTCAGAACATGGTTCTGAGGCAGGACAGGGGTAGAGGGGGCCGGGTGCAGGCTGCCCACCGGGCTGGCCTGCAGTCTTCCTTCTTCTGGTGCCGGCTGACACCAGACCTGGGGATTTTCTAAAGGGAGTCAGGGAAGGCTGGACGTTGTCAGTGGTGGTGTCTTTAGCCTAAGACAGAGATTTTTAAAGGCAAAATTATATTTCTGGTTTGTTGTTTCAGATGACAAATAAAGCCTGTATTTTCCTATCTACTTCCTGGTTTCCTTGGGCGGGAGGGGACGCAGGAGCCAGCAGCCGGGATGGCGGCCCCTGCCCGCTGACCTCCCCAGATGGGCGCACGGAGTGTCCCCAGGCCCCTAAGGAGGACGGCAGCTCCCGCCCGAGGCCTGGCCTTGGGGCGCCCCTGGGAGGGCAGCGGGGGAGCGCGGAGCCCCGGGCCTGCTCCCAGCCCCGCTGCGAGCGAGGCTGCCCTGCGGTCAAGGGCAGACGGCCACGGGGTAGGAGGCGCGCCTTGGCCCTGGGGACCCTCCTGCTGCCTGCCGGGAGGGGCGGCTCCCCGAGAGCAGTTTAGGGGACTAGGTTTCACCAGCCTTGGAGGGGTGTCGCTGGGTTTGCAGGACGAGCCCCGTTTAATGTCCTGTGCTTTTGAGGCTGACGTACAGACGACCCCTCCTCAGGGCTCAGCAGGTGTAGGATCAGAATTCGGGACTGGAGGGCGGGGGCGGGGCCGGAGGGCTGGGGCGGGACCGGAGGGCTGGGGCGGGGCCGGAGGGCTGGGGCGGGGCCGGGGGGGGAGTGAGCGACGGCAAGGCCTCCGGCTGTCTGCCCACCTGCGGCCCGCGTGGCCCACCTCGCCTGACTGGCCGGGCCTGGGCTACACGCGTCACAGTCTTCAGACCAAGACGAGATTCTCTTCTAGCCAGGAGCCCTCCCTTCGGTGACACCCCAGCGAGCCAGGAGCCAACCCCGGGGAGAAGGGAACCAGCAGGTCCCTGTTCCAGGAGTTCGGCTGGACTCCTTCCTGGGTGGGGGTAAGTGGGGAGAGGTGCCCTCCTGTGGCCCTGACCGGTACAGCAGAGCTGGGAGAGCAGGCCCCATGGGGGCAGGGGACCGCCTGCACAGCCTGCACAGGTGTGGGTAACGCGCAGACGCACTGTTCTGAGAGCGCCCCGCCGTCTGAAGGCTGGGCCGTGCGCACGCAGGCGGAACTCCAAGGAGAGGAGCCGTCAGGCCGCTCCAGACAGCAGGCCCTCCGCACAAAGGCTGCTGGGCTGGGGAAGCACACTTGCAGGTTACGGTACCACCATGACACTCGGCAGTATTTCCCAAGTGGGGCCTGGAGGGCACAGAGACTTGAAAGTGGATCCTGATCAAAACAGTAGATTCCTAGAAATTTTGCATGAACCGTTGAGAAATACCTGCTTAGACTAAGGTTAAGCGACGCCACCTCATTCACCTGCCTGGCCCTTGGCTGTCCCCCTAGCTGCCCTTCCTCCTTCTCCCCAGCCCAGGGCACAAACATCGAACGTGCAGCCTGTGCGTCACAGAACACGCGAGGAAAGGAACTGCCGGCACCGCACACACAGGCTAGCTGGTCCGGGTCAGGGAGGCTGAGCCACAGGCTAGGAAGAGGAAATTACAAAAGGAGGCTGAAAAGAATAATTGAAGCATAAAGGTCTCCAGTGCCTCCTCCCTGTCCTATCACATCCGTGCCCCCCGAGCTGCAGAGCGATCGTCTGCAGTGAGTTAAACCAGAAGCGCCCGGACACGGTTTCCATGGCAACCCCTCCTGGCTCTAATGCAGCGCCGAGTTAAAAATGATGTCAAATAATTGGAGAGTGCAGGGGAGCAGCCAGCAGGCTGATCCCGCGTGCCTTCTGCTTGCTGGGCTTTCGGGTGTGCGGGAGCTGAGAAGCCCACGTCCTGGACGGAGCAGGGGCTACGGGACAGTCTTTAGGGTCTGGGATTAGCAGGCCAGGCGAAGGACAGAAAGGCGGCTGGGAAGGCGCGGGTCCCTCCAAAGTGCCCGGCGGCGCAGCCTCAGGACCCCTGTGACACACGTGTTTCCAAATGAGGCTCTGAGTGACCAGAACAAGCCCTTCCCTCCCTCCCTCCTCATCGCAGCGTGGACGGCCGTGCCCTTGCTGGGGCGGGCGGACGAAGGGGCAGCCTGCCTGCTGGGCCGCTCCTCCCTGCCCTTTGCCCTGCACTCAGCCTGGGGGAGAAGACACGAGGGGCCTGCTTGCCTGCCCCTGGCAGCTGTGGGGTCCCCCACAATGCAGGCGCCCGACCCCAGTGCCCAGGACGGCTGAGAGCTGTGAGGGCCTCACAGCTTCTCAGAACACGGTGGGGTCTGAGACACGGAGACCGAGGGCAGGATCCTCAGGGCTCTCAGACGAGTGGGCAGGGGTGCCAAGGCCCTTCTTAGGCCCCAAAAAGCTGCAAAGCCGGGGCAGCTCGTGAGGCTGCCCGGGTACTCTCATGGCTTCTGTGGCCAATTGCAACAAAGGGTCATGATCCTGGGCCTTCAAGAGAGGCAGTCTGAGCTTAAATTCTAGTCATTGACTATTAGCTGTGGGACTTCGGGCAAATAACATGTCTGGGCCTCAGTTTCCTCATCTGTAAAATGGAGCCAAACCAGGTCACCGCCCCCCCCCGGGCTGGATGAGAACATGCACGGGAGCACAGGACTCACGTACGGGCTCGGACTTTAGGGTCTGAGTCCCAAGCCCACTCCTCCCCTGAGTGGGCAGTGGAGGCGGAAGCGACACAAAGAGGGTGGGAAGGAGGTCTGGGCAGGCTCTGTCCTGTGTGACCTTGAGCAGATCTCTCAACCTGTCTGGGTTTCAGTTTACTGCATGAATTCTGTTAGATCTAAGGCCTCACAGCTGTATAAACAAAATGGCTCAGGAAGACTCCACCTCCCCTCAGCCCCACATTTCATCTGGGAAAACACAGACCGTGGCCTCGCGAACCACGCGCGGGGCCGCCTCCGTCACTGGGCCTCGTTCTCGACTCGGACTCACAACTGCCCGGCCTCAAAGCCCAGGGGCAGCTCCTACCTGCAGCGATGGCTGTCCTGTTGTCCATGGTGACGGCTACAGCTGTGCTCACGGTCACCACCATCGGCTTGTCTGTATTTTCTGGGGGGAAAATTGTCCAGTCACTTTCTCTGCACCTGAGGAGGAGCCGGGGTGGCGGCGCGGGCTGGGAAGCCCAGTAAACAGCAGGCTAGGACGTTCCCTGAGCGAGCGAGGGGCTGCCCGGGAGGCTGCCTGCTACCACCACCTCGGGTCTTTGCGGAGCGCCTCGTACTTGCCTCCTATGTGCCGGGTGCCGCCCACCTCTCCATGCAGCTCCGAAGCTGCCAGGTCAGTGTGTGGCCCCTGCCCGCCTGGACAGCGCCGCACTGTCAGGTCCCTGACGCTGCAGGTCTGCTCTGTCTCAGGGCCGCAAAGCTGTCTGCATGCAGCTGCCCCACTGGAGCTCGGGGACCCCACGGGGACCCACCCAGGAGACTCGCGTGGCATCAGGGGCCCTTGCGAGCAGGGGACGGGCCGCGCTCCCGGACGCAGTGCTGGCTGACCCTGCGCTGTCCTTCATCAGTTACATGAGTCAACGTGACAACGACAGCCCCTTCGGGAAGCCAGACGCCAGGGCTGTGATGGGCACAGAGGCTGGCTGGCATCTGACACGTGCGAGGTGCCCCGTGAATCCTGGTGGCCTGCGTGCCACTGCCCGGCGGGTCGCTGCACGTCCGGGACACAGCCAGGCTCTGGGACCTCTCAGGAGAGCCAGGCCTCCAGGCGCAGAATTCAGGTGGCAGCCTCAGCCCTGCATCAGCACAGAGCTTTCCGGCTCTGAGAGGCGCGGACGAGTACGTGCCCGCGGCTTTTGGGCTCTACAGCCCTGGGAAAGGCACTCTTGCCTACGGATCAAGTGCGTCACTAAAAACCCCGAGAAAGGGGCACAGTTCTGCCACGTGCTCGCTTGTTAGAATGTCTTTACATCAAACGTTGCTTGAAACCAACAGGTCGTGAGACTCTTGACAGTGTCAGTCGTAGCGAAACTTAAATCCACCACTGGTTTCTCGTATCTGCCCTCTTGTCAGGATTACCCATCCCACCTCGCCGGAACCAAGTATCTCACAGAAATCAGAAATTACTCTGATTCTAGGAACTGACACGATGTAAGGTCGTCCTTGGCTCTAGGAATTGGCCATGACAAGGACACAAGAGACCAGAACAGCCGCAGAAGCTGGCTTCCCCGTCTTACTTCTAGAAATGTCTGGACGATCCTGATGGGGTGACCCCCGCACCGTTCCCGGCCGCAAGCTGCTTTCGGGACAGACCCGTGTGTGTGCTCCACGGGCTCGGAGGAAACACCCAGGCGAAGGTGTGGGGCGCTAATGACGCGGTCTCTGGGGATAGCAGGGATCTCAGGGCCTGGGTCACCAGGCACCGGGTGAGTGAGCCAGCTACCAGGTGGTAGGGGGGCAGGCCCAGGCCTGGCCCAGGAAGCAGGGCTGTGGGTGGGGGCACCAGGCCTGAGCTGCTGGGGCTGCGCTGGGACTCTGCTCTGTGCTGGCAGGTTTCTCAGCGCCGACTGCAAAAGGCAGCTCCGTGTGGGCAGAGCTCGCCCACCGGGCCCAGGCGGAGGGCTGCAGTCAGCCTGGGTGGGCGGGGCCCACCCCTCACCCTGCAGCCGCCCCTCCACCTCCTCAGGGGTACCCCCCATTAAAATTGTCGGTTTCTCCCTTTGGGGGAGGATGGGAGCGTGCAGGGCCCCTTGCCCGGTGGTCCCCAGCCGGCCCTCGTCATCTCGCTCTCTGTTCCCGCCCACCACCCTCCTGCCCCTGTGCAAGAGAGCTCCCCGGCAGCCAGCTCATCCTGCTGACACTGGCAGGAGGGAGCCCGTCACCGTGGGGGCGGGCAGGGCCTCACCCCAGACCCCCCGGGACCCCGTGGGGCCCTCCTGTTCCGGGGGGCGCCGAAAGGGGGAGCTGCCTCTGTGGCTGTGGTGCCAGTGCGGGAAGGGGCCCCTCCGCGGGTGTGCCCTGGAGTCCCAGCGCCTTACACACAGTGAAGTGCAGAGAGACCCCCGGTGTGCCCCCCGCTGTGTGGTCCGGGCGAGTCAGGCGCCCTCTGAACCTCAGACTCTCCTTGTGTAAGAAGAGGGCGTGCACACCGCATGAGCGGGGCGGGGAAAAGCGTTCTGTAAAGCACGTCAGTGACACCCCGGGCGGAGGATGCCGAGGAAGGGCATCTAGAGGGCAGGTGCTGCCTGCAGCCGCGGGCGGGGCCCTGGGGCCTGGGCCTCCCCAGCCGGCAGCTCAGCTCGGGGAGGTTCCCGTCGGGCGGCGTGAGGGTGGTTTTGGTGGCGGCGGTGGCAGGAGGCTATTGGCGGGCGGGCGGGCGGCCTGGAGGGAGGACCAGGCTTCATCCCAAGTCGGCTCCCGGCCGCCCTCTTCCTCACGTCTCCACTCCTCAGCCCCAACCTCGGCTCGCTCAGCCAGGACGCCGAGGATAGTTGCGGGCCCCCTCACCCCACGGCGCTGAGGCCAGGACCCCCAGACGTGACCCGTGGACCCTCTCTGGGCCGTGGTCACTTCAAGTGCGGATTGAGAGGGTGAGGCTTTGTAGCCCCAGGGTCCTTTCTGTCCTAAACACTGTGCGGCTTTCTGGGCGCTCTGTTAAAGCCACTTACCGTTTCCCGTTCGGGTTATTTCCCAGAGTGGGGGCCGGGCTGGGAGCTGGGGGCTCCAGCTCTGAGCCCCCCTGGCCCTTGGACTGGCAGGCCTGTGCTGGCTGGGTGCCTGAGGCCCAATCCGCCATCATCTCTCGCCCTGCAGCCCCCAGAGGCCTGGCGGCCGGGAGGCGCCCCGTTATTACCAGGAGCTGCCGGGGAGCAGGCCGGGGCTCAGCCACCCCCCTGGGATATAGTCTGTTCCAGGCAGTACAGCGGCCCCCCACGGAATAAAGTCTGCTCCTTTCACGGTTTGAGCAGCTCTCAGAAACACTCAGATGTCTGGAAATACACGACTCTCCAGAGACCCATTGTCCCGACGTCCTCCTATGCGGAATCTGGGCTAGAATCCAGCTCCTCCTGACTTTCCGGTCAAACCCCTTTCCTTTGTTACAGTTGAACTTTTGAACCGCGTCGTTGATTGCCGGCCAGGGAATGAAACGATCCACCCAGGGTGCAGGTGGAGGCCAGCGGGGTGAGGGGACTCCGAGGTCTGGACGTTCGGTCCTGTATCTCGTGGCGGTCTCCCACCCCAAGCGCGGTGGGAGGAGGGATGCCCTGGGCCCCGCCCTGGAGCTTGGGGTGTAGATTACCTGGTCCCTCTGCCGAGTAGAGGTTGAAGACCACGCTGCCCGGAGGCTGCTCGGCGGCCTGGCGGTACCACAGAGGGAAGTGGTCCAGGGTGAAGATGCTGGCCTCGTCCGCCGGCGTCAGGAACCTCCTGCAGCGAGAAGGGCCTGTCACCTCCCCCGGACCCGGGAGCACGGTCTTCCCCATCTCCTCGCTCCTACGAGGTCATCGTGGCTGGGCCAGGGGGGCGACTCCCCTCTGACTTGGTGGGGTTGCAGAAGGAAAGATTAGCCCCTGAATGGGTGTTGCCCCGGAGGATGCTCCCCAGTCATTCCTGCCTCTTCCGGAATCAAATGCTGGTGCAGCTGAGGGCACATCGTAGGAAGGGTGGAGGGCCTGTGTGCTGAGAGAGCCTTTCCACTTCTCTGTGCACTCCTTGCCTGCAGGGTTCATTTATTTGGGGTACAGCCTAATTCCTCTTTGTCAAGCTGATTAGCATGTCTGCAGGAGGGAACTGTATAGTCATAGAGGGTCATAAATTCCCCCAAAATGGTTACTGCAACAGCTCCTGCCGCAGGCAGTGGAGTCTCCTTTTGGGGGGCAGCTCAGTCTCCTTTTGGGGGGCAGCTCTACCTTGCTAATTACGGTTTTGCACTGCTGGGCTCAGCCCGCCGACAGAAGGGGGTGTTGGCCCAGGGCAGACTGGGAGGGAAGCAGGGAGAATCTGGTAGGGATTAAAAGAGTGACTGTGTAACCTGCAGGTGGATAACTGAGGTTTGATTCTGGGCATGCTTGGCTCGGGGCTCTCAGAAGCCCACCTGCCTGGCTGCACCGTCCTGGGCTGCACTGACGCCAGGGGCCAGGCAAGGGGAGCCCCCTGGAGGTGTGCAGTGCACGCGCGGCCGTTCGTGGGGCTGGTTCGTGACTCAGGAGGGTCTGTCTGTACCGACTTCCTTCCTCCGTTCTTGGAAGCCTTTTGGAGAGGGTGCAGGGGTGTCCGAGACCCTCCCCTCACACTGCCCGGTGTGGTCCCCGGTCCAACCGGGGCCACAGGAAGATGTGGACGTGCGTTTTTTCTACTGGGGGAGGAAGTTTAAGGGGATGAGGGTGGTGAGCTTGGGGAGGAAAGTTCCCAGGTGGCTCGAGGCCTTCGGGCGAGTCTGCAGTTCTCCCACTGGATCTGGTCCACCTGGGTCACCTGTTGTGTCTCTAACCGGCGGAGGAAGGGCTGGCCAGGCAGGATGTTTCCTGGGTTTCCACCTCTCAGGGAGGGAGTGGGGAGGGGGAGGGCCACCTAATGCCTCTTCCTAGAAGCGTCTGCTTCCTGGAAATGGCGGGTCAGTCTTGGAGTCCGTGAGGAAGACCCCCCCGATGGCGTCCTCCTGGGGCCATGGGTGGGCGGGAGGCAAGGACACTGGGGTCAGGTCTGCGCAGGAGACCTCTTGGCTGTCCCCCCAAGGTGGCCGCGGGCCCCCCACCTTGAGTCTCGTGGTCTGCAGAGTGGCAGGTGGCTTCGCTCCCCTAACCACAGCATGCTCCCCCGGGCACCCCCTTTGCTGCAGTGCCGGGTGGGACGCCCTGGTGGGCGGGTCCCGGGTGGCTTTGCTGGGGGCGGGGCTTCTCAGCCTCAGCACCGCCAACGTTTTGGGCCCGGGAAACGGCTGGGGGCCGTCCAATGCGCTGCGGGCCGTGCAGCGGCGTCCCTGACCTCTACCCACTGGACGCCAGTAGCAACCCCCTGCCCTCCCCCAGCTGTGACGTCCAGAACTGTCTCCAGGGTAGGGGGCAGAATCACCCCCATCTGAGAATTTCGGGCTTGGGGGAGGGGAAAGTTGTCGACAAAGGACGGGCACGGCCGGAAGATTCAGCCCATTGCTCAGAGATCTGTCCCGGCGGGAAGACCGCATCTGGTTCCCCTCTTGGGAGTGAATGGGGATGAGCCCAGGATGGGACCAAGCCTGGCTGGAAGGGGTGCTTCTCCGGCTGTCCCAGTCTGTAAACCCGAACCCTTCCTCCCCCCGTACTCTTGGAGTCCGGCACAGGTCTGCCCACAAACCACAGGGGCACCCCAGGGACCCCGCTCCCTGGCCTCCGGCAGGACTCACTTGTCAGAGACCTTTTCGGAGCCCACGAACAGGCTGCTTCTGAGGAGGCCGGCCCGGGTGCCCAGGAAGGCCATGTCCACCACATGCTCGGACTCACTGCGGGCAGACAGAGCAGAAGTCATCACCACGTGCCCGGGGAGGAGGGATGGGCGTACTGGGAGGACCTGCAGGCCTCTCCCGGCGCCGGGCCTTCTGACTGGGGTGGGTGGGGGCAGGTGGGTCAGTCTCTCGAGGGGATGCTGCTGGCCGTCTGCTGTGAGCATCCCTGGGCTGCACCTGCCCTCATTCGTGGGTCCCCTGGGCCTCTGCCCCTCTGCGTGCATGCAGCTTTGCGGGAAGTTAGCTCTGGAAGACGGAAGGAACCCAGGAAGAGAGATTTTGTCCCGGGACCTAAGGAAAGTAACTCCTTGTGACCAGCACACACTTAGTACCCCACCATGTGAAGCCCTTTGCAAACGTTTGCCTTATTCCTGAGATGGGGAAGGAGAAGGCTGTCCACATCCACAAAGAGGAGTCTGGGCAGAGCTCACGCCTTTGCCAACAAGACTTGGGAGAGCCCGCGGGCTGGAGGGCGCTGTTCCTTCTCTCACGGTCCCGGAGCGGCCCTGTGGGGACAATGCCCCACCTGGGAGAGTCACCTTTTTTGAAATGTCAACCTTACTGACGTATAACGGACATAAAACTGTAAGATAGTTGAAGCGTACATTATGGTGATTTGATATAGGTACACATTGTGAGAGGATTCCCTCCATCGTGGGTGCGTGTGTGTGCGCACGGCGCGTGCATGTGAACATTTAAGTTCTACTCCCTTAGCTAATCTCAGTTACACAATCCAGTGTTCCAACTAGAATCACCACCCTCAGGCCTTATTCATTTTACAGCTGGAAGGCCGTGCCCTTCACCAGCCTCTCCCCATGCATGTATCCCACCGCCAGCCCCCGGCAACCGTTTTTCTACTCCATGTTTCTATGATAACACTTTTTTTTTAGATCTCACATATAAGTGATACAGTGCAGTATTCATCGTTTTCTGTCTGACTTATTTCACTTAACATAATGCCCTCTAGGTTCATCCATGTTGTTGCCAATGGCAGGAATTTCCTCTTTTTAAAGGCTGAGTAATATTCCATTGAATATACACACCACACCTTCTTTATCCATTCATCCATCAGTGGACACTTGGGTTGTTTCTGTGTCTTGGCTACTGTGAATGAGGCTGCAGTGAACAGGAGGGTGCAGATACCTCTTCAATAGTCTGCTTTTGTTTCCTTTGGATAAACACCCAGAAGTGGGATTGCTGGGTCCTGTGATAGTTCTATTTTTAATTTCTTGAGGAACCTCCATACTGTTTTCCATAGTGTCAAAATCAGTTTACATTCCCACCAACAGTGCACAAGTGTTCCCCTTTCTCCACATCCTTGCCAACACTTGCCATTGCTTGTCTTTTTGATAATAGTCATTCCAACAGGTATAAGGTGACATCTCACTGTTTTTTGGTTTTTTTTAAATTTATTTTTGGCTGTGTTGGGTCTTCGTTGCTGTGCACGGGGTTTCTCTAGTTGTGGCGAACAGGGGCTGCTCTTTGTTGCAGTGCACGGGCTACTCTTCGTTGCAGTGCACGGGCTTCTCTTGCTGCGGAGCACGGGCTCTAGGCGCGCGGGCTTCAGTAGTTGTGGCTTGCGGGCTCTAGAGCGCAGGCTCAGTAGTTGTGGTGCACAGGCTTAGCTGCTCCGCGGCATGTGGAATCTTCCCAGACCAGGGCTCAAACATGTGTCCCCTGCATTGGCAGGCGGATTCTTAACCACTGTGCCATCAGGGAAGCCCCCTTGGTTTCTTCTTTATTCTATTTATACTTGACTAAAGAAAAACTTCTCCTCAACATCTGTTTATCCTGAGGCATAATTTGTAAGAAGAGGCAGGATAAAGAATCGTGTCTCTGTTTCTTCACCAGTTGGTACAAGTATGAATAGGTTTCCTAACATCTTCCAAAGGTGACCAAGAAGGTTTTTCCTTCAGTATTACTCTGAGCGCAGGATTTTAGCATGTTTACTGTGCTCTTACCTACTGCTGTTGTTACGGTGATGCTGGTCTGACTGCCTCTCGTCTGGCCGGCGAGAGCCCCTTCAGTGCGGCTCTGACGTCCTGTTGGCAAAACCTCCTTCGTCTTTGATGACTTGCCCCTGGGATGACAAGGTGCCCCCAGCTCATTCTGTCCACCCCTTGCCCCTGACCTGGAATCAGACACTTCTCCAGGGATCACTGACTCATTTTAGTGAGAACTTCTTAAAGTAGATATTGGAAGTCCACAAGCTGGGTCTGGGGTGCTCACTGAGCTTGGTCCTTTCAGTGGACGAGGATCCCCTCTTTGTTTCCTTCAGGGAAAATACATGAGTTCATCGATATTTCCAACTTGTATTTAGGGTCCCATCTAAACTTCTCTGATTTAAAAAATTTGCACCTCTTTTCTCGTTTGTTGAAAATCTTGTTCCTAATGACATTAACAATACTATGTGCTCTGTCTATCCATGTAGTTTGAGAAGAACAGTTTTTAAGATTTTGTTTAGTGTTTACAGTTCTGTTTCCAAGTCCCTTGAGAGAAGCCCCCCACGTGTGGTCATCGCACGAGCCTGCTACACAGCCAGGTTCACTTGCTTCATTTGCTTTCAGATTTTTAGAGCTTATTTCTTAAAAGTTAATTTTGTTTTATAATGATATAAACATTTACATGGTTCCAAAGTCAAACGCAAAATAAGGCATATTCAGAAGTCTGTTTCTGTCTCCATCCCTCTGTTCCTTCACTCTTCCTACAAGTAACCCTTTTTGTTTACTAGTTTATTTTTCCATTAAAATATGTAGATATATATGCACATACATATATATGTTTATAGACGTGTAAGTAACAATGAAGATATATTTGCATTTTCTCTTTTAGATAAACAGCAGGGTGTTATCATACACAATTTTCTCCATTGCTGAGACCTTCCGTGGCAATATACGTAGTTCTCAATTTTCAAGGCTACATAGTATCCCATTAGGTGGAGCCACCAGGGTTTATTTAACTAGGCTCCTACTAATGGACGTTTAGGTTATTTCCAATCTTTCGCTGTTACGAACAGCGCACGTGCATGTCTTTGGGATGCACTCCCAGGAGCAGGATCGGTGGCCAGAGTGTGCACGCATCTGTCACTTTGGTGGATACTGTCAGATTCCCCTCCACAGGCTTTGAAACATTCTGCATTCCCACCAACAGCGCACAAGAGTGTCTGATCCCCACAGTCTCGTGACAATGCCCGTCAGCAAACGTAAATGGTTGTCAGTCTAAATGACAAGTACAACCTCAGTCCACCTTCAACTTGCAATCCTTTTATTATGAGCTGGATTGAGCACTTTTTCGTACAACTGAGGACGAGCTGCATGAAGTCTCTGAACTGCCTCTTGGTCTTTTTCCCCGTAAGTCGTTGGTCGTTCACTTCTCTATTGTTGAAGTTCTCTACCACACATATGTAATATAGGGACAGTCACTCTCTCTTTGTTTTTTTAAGTTGCCAACATTTTTCCAGTGTGTCATTTCTCTTTTCACCTTGCTCATGGTTTTTTTTTTTTTTGCCAAATAAACATTTTATGTTCTTAAATTTATCAGTCATTCCCTTATGGCTTCTGAATTCTGAGCCATTGCTGGGAAAGCTTTCCCCACTCCTAGATTGTACAGCAACAGGCTCATGGTTTCTTCTAGCGCTTATACGGTTTCATTTTCTACATTTAAATCTCTGCGTCATTTGGACTTTATCCAGGTCTACGGTGTGAGGAAAGAATACAGCGTTATTGCTCTGCAGATGGCCCTCAAACCGGTTAGTATTACACAGTCCCTCTTTCCCTCCCTGGTCTGACACGATGCCCTTGTCATACGCTAAATTTCCACGTGCATTTAGATGAATTTGTGGATTTTCTTTTCCATTCCCTTGGTCTGCCTGTCTGTTCCTGTGTCAAAACCACACTTTATAAGTGGCAGAGGTTCTGTAGCGTTTTACTGTTTTGTGGGACCAGCCTTCCTTTGTTGCCTTTCTTTTTCAGCGTTTTCCTGGCAATTCTTGCCTGTTCTTCCGAATGAACTTCATTCCGCCTGTGTTTTCTTCTAGCAGTTTTATGATTTCAGGTCTTACATTGAAGTCTTTAATCCATTTAGGCTGATTTTTGTGTATGGTGAGAGACAGTGGTCTAGTTTCTTTCCTTTCTTTTTTTTTTTTTTTTGCATATGGCTGTCCAGTTTTCCTGACACCATCTGTTAGAGAGACTGTCCTTTCTCCAGTGTATATGCCTGGCTCCTTTGTCAAACAGCACTTGTCCGCATACGTGTGGGTTTATTTCTCCGCTCTCAGTTCTGTTCCATTGGTCTACGTCTCTGTTTTTCTGCCAGTACCATGCTGTTTTGATGACCCCAGGTCATCTCTCCTGAGATATTCTTTCCCTGGTCAAGAATATGTGTTCCTCAATGTTTCCCAACATTAAAAAATCAGCTAATTTCTGAACTTGGAAAGATAAAGATCGTGTCTTCTCTCCAAACCTGGTGAGCCAGCCCCCACTGTAGAAGGCAGGACAGCACAGGGGCCAAGAGTCTGGACCTGGAAACAGGCTGCCTGGTTTTGACTCCAGCGCGGCCACTTCTGAGGCAGGTGACCTTGGGCAAATTACTTACCTCATTCTGCCTTGGCTTCCTCATCTGTAAAGTGGGAATAATGACAGGACCTATATTGTAGGGTTGTGAGGTTCAAAAGGCTTAATGTACACTAAGCACTTGGAACAGTGCCTGGCCCTCTGTATTCTTCATTCTTCAGTTTTATTTAATTTTGAATAGATAATACAGTCACATGGCTCAAATTGGTATCAAAAAGTTATATACTGGGCTTCCCTGTTGGCGCAGTGGTTGAGAGTCCGCCTGCCGATGCAGGGGGCGTGGGTTCGTGCCCCGGTCCGGGAAGATCCCACATGCCGCGGAGCGGCTGGGCCCGTGAGCCATGGCCGCTGAGCCTGCGCGTCCGGAGCCTGTGCTCCGCAACGGGAGAGGCCACAACAGTGAGAGGCCAAGTTATATAGTGAAAAGTGTCCCTCCATCCCTGTTTCAGTTACCCATTCTTCTGACCAGAAGCAACCAGTGACAACTCTTTCCTATATAGCCTTCCATAGATATTTTATACATACACACCCCCTATATTATGTTTTTCCCCCTTTGATAGAGATGGTAGCGTACCACCAGGCACTGTTCTGCATCTTGCTTTTTAAACAGGTGTTCGTTCCTATAAGATTCTGTCGGTGTTTTCATGAGGACAGCACTAGGAGAGGTCTGACGTCGTCCTGATGTCGAAGTTGACTCTTACTGTTCAGGAACAGGTGTGGCCCCTGCATCCTTTACCTCATTAGTACCTTACACCCTCCTGGCACTCACATGCACACACACGCTCACACACTCACGTCCATTCATCTCTTCTTTCTACCTTCCTGCTAAACACCAGAGCCCCAGGTGACGAAGAGCAGAGGGGGAGAGGAAACCCACGGGGGTTGGACTCACCTTCCCTGCTGGAAACGAGGCCCCAGTCGGCTTGAACCGCTCCCTCCAGGCCCCGTGGCTAATGGGCTCTCATAGCCGGAGCCCGGCCCCAAGGGAGGGGTTCTGGGAACTGGGCCTGGGGCGTGGGCTGGGTGTTCCCTGGGAGGGGAGGGGGCAGCAGCAGGGGCCTTGAGGAAGCTTTGTCAAGTCCCTGCTGTCCCGGGGCTGTCCCTCCCACACCTTCTCACCCTCCTCTCAGGACAAAGGACACAGCGGGAGGCCCTGCCTCAGCTCAGGGACCCCAGGGGTGGGACCCTCAGCCCCACGGACGTACTCGGAGGTGTTGAGGGACAGTGCCGTCCAGTGCGCCTCCATGGGGGCCGTCACCACCGCGTCAAACAGCAGCTCCTGCAATAGTTCCTCGTCGCCTGGGGCAAAATACGGAGACCACCCTCTTACTCCCCCGTGGTCAGGAGCTCAGCTCAGCCCCACCCAGGGGCCCTGAACTTCAGGCACGAGACGTGCTTCGAGCTGGAGGAGGGCAGCTCAGGGGGCCAGGAGGCCGCGTCCTCAGCCTCCACCGTGTGGGCAGAACCAAGGGGCTGCCAGGCCTTTCCAGCCCGGGCTCCATGAAATCAGGAGGCCCACCCGCCAGCCGCCCTCCCCTCCCCTCCCTCTCGCCACTGGGCTCCGTCATGCCCACGCCTCCCCGAGCGCCTAAACCTGCCCCGGGGCCTGTGCACACGTGGTCCAGATGCTCCCGCCCCCTGCTTGCGAGGACGGCCCTTTCTTTTCCCTCCGCCCCTCTAACACGATTCTTACGTTCACTGTGGTGAAATCCACCCAGCACACACCCGACCGACAGCGTGCGGTCTGGGCATTTACACCTGCTCGGAGACGGGCGGCCCTCACCTCCACAGCACAACGTTCCCCCGACCCCCCAGGAGATCCACTCGGTGGCTCCTTTCTGTCCTCAGCTGCAGTGACGCCTCCTGACGAGGGCCCCCCCGGCCACGGTTAGAGCAGCCCCCCCTCCCCCAGGGCACCTGCTCACGGCTTTACACCCCCTGCATCGACACACTGCCGCTTCCCGGTTACCTGTCTCCTCCCCTAGAGCACAGGCCCCGTGAGCACAAGGGCCTGGCCTCTGGGTCACTGGCAGCTTCACTGCCCCTCTGCCCCCCAGGCCCGGCGCAGACTTGTGGGTGGAATGAATGAATGAATGAGGCCTTGTCAGGCGGACACGGGAAGCGGGGTCTTCTCCCCAGCGGGAGGCTGATGGGACAGGATGACCCGTGCCTCCTTCCAAAGAGGAAGAAAAGGGACCATGCGGAGGGTGGCCCTGTGACTCCCCAGCTGCATTAGTGCAGGGACGTGGGGTCACCTGGGAACCCGGCTTAGGAAACACTCAACAGACACGGCGTCCAGGAGGTGAGGACTTGAGGGGGCAGACATCAGCTACTGGCTGGGGGTGGGGACGGACCTGATGGGCAGGCCAGCATCCTTCACTGTGGGAGCCTTAACAGTGCCTGGGTGACAGACGCTTAAAGAGACCCTGCTCCCTGCCGTGGGGACACACCTGTGCCCCTGCAGGTCCCAGAGCTCTCAGTCACCGGCGTGGCCCCAGTGAGGCTGGCTCTGTCCTCTCCTCTGGGGACTCCCTGTTCTCCCTAAGCCATCGTGAGGTCCCAGCCCACTGTCCCCACGGAGTCCTGAGCTTCGGGGCCGGAGAGTCACTCACACTCCAGGGCTGGGTCCCGCCCGGTCAGGAAGCGGACCACGGCCTCCAGCTGGCTGAGCCTGCGGTGCTCGGGGTCGATGTCCGTGACGCAGTAGATCCTGGAACCCACGGAGCCCGTTACCCAGAGCCCACACCCTGCCCTGTTCCCCCCGCCCCGAACCCCCGTCCTCACCAGTCGCTGGCCAGGCTCAGGTCCGGGTGAAGCAGGTCGTGCAGGCCTGAAAGCAAAGTCCACGCTCACCCACTGCCCAGACTTTGTGTACCGAGTGCTCTAGAAACAGCGTCAGGGAAGGGCTGGGCCGTGTCCTGCCTCGTTCTCGGGCAGAGCGGAATCTCAGCCCACAGGACAGCTGGGCCAGCACAGGTCCCGCCGTTGTCACTGTCACGTTGCTTCCGAAACGCTTTCCTTCCCACTGCCTCCTGGACCCGCCCGATGGGATCGCCCTCAAGGAGACATCGGCTTCCCTGGCTTCACTGTACCGAACCGAGCCGCGGGGCCCTGCGTGTCTGTGGTGGCGTGCTCAGCACGTGTTTGTTGACCGACTGAATGGACGAATGCCCTCCTGTGCACCCACTGGTGCTCAGTTAAGATCTGTTAATTGAAGGAAAGGATGATGACATGCCGAGGGCCTCTGTGGAGTCACTGAACATGGTGCTGGACAAGCACACACAGGCAGACAGCTCAGGGGCGACGGCCTTCCCCACCGGAAGCCCATGGATGCCTGGTGGGTCTCACCACAGAGAGGGTAAGGGATGTACCCTCTGTCCTGCAGTGGTGATATCTGGGCACGTCTGGGAAGAGGAAGAGAGGAAGAGGAAGGAAGAAGGAGGCCCAGGGAGTTTGGTTGCTGGGGGGACAGTGGGAGACAGGGAAGGTCAGTGTCCTGGCGTCATGGACACGAGCCGTGACAGGAGCCTGGGGGAGGCGCCTCCTGGGACAGCTCCCGGCAAAGTGACCGCAGATGCGTCTGGGTGGGCTGGGGTCAGAGGGTGGGGCAGCACAGCCCAGGGCAGACCCTGAAGCTTCGGGCGAGGAGAGATGAAAAGGGGCCGCAGGTCACGGAAGGCCTTTAGCAGCGGCACTGTCCAGTTTGGATTTATAGAAAAATCCCTCTGGAGAAGGTCAGACCAAGGAAGACCTGCGGGTGTGGTTTCCAGGAGAGAGTGGGAGTGAGCAGGATGGAGGGGAAAGACGGGGGGATGACATGATCCAAGGGTCGGAAATGGAAGAACAGACAGAACGTGAGGTTCAAGGGCTGTGGCCGCGTCGTCCAAGGACCTCCTGACATGTCAAGGGCCCACGTGGTTTTGTTCTCCCAAGGCGCCCAGGCAGCTGCAAGTCCAGGGCGGGTGGGGGTGGAGGGTCTCTCTCCCATCCTCCTGCAACGCGCCTCCTCCCATCCCCATTCACATCCCACAGGCTCCTGTAATGGGTGGAATTGTGTCCCCCAAAGATGTGTGAAGTGTCAACCCCGTCTCTGTGGACGTGACCTTATCTGGAAATAGGATCGTGGCAGATGTAACCAAGTTAAGATGAGGTCGCTGGGCTTCCCTGGTGGTGCAGTGGTTGAGAGTCCGCCTGCCGATGCAGGGGACACGGGTTCGTGCCCCGGTCCGGGAAGATCCCACGTGCCGCGGAGCGGCTGGGCCCGTGAGCCATGGCCGCTGAGCCTGCGCGTCCGGAGCCTGTGCTCCGCAACGGGAGAGGCCACGACAGTGAGAGGCCCACGTTCCGCAAAAAAAAAAAAAAAAAAAAGATGAGGTCGCTGATAAGAAGGGAAAATTGAGACTCACGAGGGGAGAAGCTGTGTGATGACCGAGGCAGAGACGGGAGAGTGGCAGCCACAAGCCCAGGGCCAGTGGGAGCCGGGAGGGGCAGGAGGGACAGTGCCCTGGAGGCGCTGGGCAAAGCGGGGCTCCCAGAACAGAGAAGCTGGCCAGTTTTGGGGGCAGCCCCAGCGAGCGGCTACGGATCTGCCCACTCGCCCTCCCAGGCCTCTTCTTTCCCTGTGGATGGTCTGACAGGTAAGCCCCGCCCTGTCCAGCAAGGCCGCCCAGAGTCTGACCACCTGTCTGGCAGGTCTTAGACTCCGCGGGTTGTGGCGACTGTCCAGCAGACCCTGCGGGCCCTGGAACCGGGGATGCCAGGCCCCTCTAGCCACGTAGCCCTGCCCGCAGAGCCCCTGCCGGGATGGCCCTGCCCCGTGTTCCCGGAGAAGCCAGTTTTCCTCCGAACTGCCCGCCAGTCCTGGGCGCCGGCCGACCCACCTTCTTCCACAGACGTGTTCCCCAGGAGGACGTATTCGCCGTGGCCGCGGGACAGCACCACTCCCAAACTGTTGGCAGAGTGAAGGACGCCGGCTCGCCACCAGCTGGTGCCCGGCCCAGCCCAGCCCCGTCCTCTGCGCTTCCGAGCCTCCCACACCCACGACAGGGCGCACAGCCAGCCCCTGCCCGCCCTGGCCCCGGCGTCCCCTCCAAAACACAGGCAGCACTTCTGTTTTGTCATCAGCCTTTTTCCTGGGAAGGACGCTGGACACGACAGGACAAAGGCCCCCTCCACTCTCATTTTGTCAGATTCACCCTGGACCTGTCGGGGCCCCCAGGGACGGGGAGGGGTCTCTGTGTCCCACGCGTCCCGCAGTCGGGAGGCCCCTCCTGCCTGGAGAATCCCACCATGCCTTCGTCAGGAAAAGCATCGCTTCTGAACCTTGGCTGGATACCTGAACCACTTGGGTCGGGGGGCTTTACAGGGTACGAGCGCCCGGGCCCACCCCAGGAATGCCAAGTAAGGTAAGAAGGAGGACCTGGACGCTGGCGATGTTACAAGGACCCACAGGTGCTCCAGGAGCAGTCAGGGCTGGGAACCACCCTTCACTGAGAAATGGGTAATTCAGAGAGAAGCCCCATTTGTTCCCTAAACTGTGTGATACTAGAGTGAATATTTATGTGGTGGGAGGGAACCTGAGAGCTCTTCAAATCCCATCTTTCATCTTACAATTGCTTATGATTGCGTTGCTTAAAATCTCTAGGTCGATCATGTCATTTAATCCACCCAGTTCCGCCCAAAGGCAGCTGTAATTACCCCTACTTTACAGAGGTGGAACCTGAAGCACAGAGGCTGAGAAACTTGACTAAGGTCACAGCCTGTGCGTGGTGGCTCCAGGCCCTGCACACCAGGCTGCACTGCACACCGGGCTGCACTGCACACCAGGCTGTACTGCACACCGGGCTGCACTGCACACCGGGCTGCACTGCACACTGGGCTGCACTGGCAAAGCAGGTGCAGACCTCAGAATGAGCCCTGCACACTGGGCTGCACTGCGCACCGGGCTGCACTGCGCACCGGGCTGCACTGCACACAGGGCTGCACTGCACACCGGGCTGCACTGGCACAGCAGGTGCAGACCTCAGAATGCAGACCTGAGTCTTCTTCTGTTACCACAAAATTGCCAACTACCTAGAAGTAAATCCACCTCCAGACCTGAAAGTCCCACCTGAGCTGTCGGCTTTCATGTTGCACCCATCCCTCCCCTGCAGACAAGACCCGGCCCCTCACCTGAAAGGCGTGTCACTGATGTCCGTGAAGAAGTAGTCGTTGGTCAGGAAAAGAACTCGCTTCTGAAAGAGGCACCAGGAAAGGTGCTTGCTGGGGAGGGAGCGCCAACCGTCCCTCCCCTCCCTCCCCTCCCGCCTCCCTTTCCTCCCCTCCCTCCCTCCCATCCCCCTCCCTCCCCCACCCCCCCATCCCCCTCCCTCCCCC